GTACTCCAATTTGATGCATATACTCTTTAAACAATACGTTCTCTCATAAAGGAAAATTGCACTAATGAGGGGTTAAACTGTGACATCCTTTGACCGTAAATTATCAAAAATGTATATTTAGTTATAATATAAATTTTGCAAAATTGGGATTATTTTAAAATATAGTTTTGAAATATTAATTTTTTATAATTTATAATTTTTTAAATTATATTTAATTCATGATCAAAAAATGCTACAGTTTGACAAAAAAGTCAATGATGAGGGAGTCCAAAAATTACATTGATTTTCCAAGTGTGCCCTTGCCTTTAAATGCTAAGATATCATCAGGCTATGGTAAAAATAATACAATCCACACTGCGATTAGTTTCAAAAGAGAGAATTTTCACGGAAAGAAAATTCATTGCATAATTAACAATGATTCATACAATAATCATTACAAAAATTACTTCCTCTGTCCCAAAATATTTGCCACCATTGTTTTTTCAGCAGTCGCGGGAACTTTTGTTTATTTCTATGCTTTCATTGATTATTTGATAAAATAAAATATTCTTGATACCTCTTATTTTGAAAAACTTTTCATGTAATTTTTTGTTATGTAAATTTTATTTTTTATATCTATACTAATATGTAAATAAAATGAATTAAAAAAACTTGATATTTTATCTCGGGATTCGAGAATATAAGTGTGGCAAATATTTAGGGAAAGAGGGAGTAAAACAATTACCAAAAACTCTTATTTTTCTTCTATCATAATCAACTCACGAGGACCATCACCAACCTCACATTTCGTAATTCCTCAAACCTTGGCGCAATTCACATTAAACTCATAGAGATGGTCAGGTTTTTGTTTTTAGTGAATTTCCAAATGCATTTTATAGGAAATATGGGAAATTTTAATACAGCATTCCTACTGATTTTATTCAATTTAATTTTACGAAATTTAAGAAAAATATTAAAAAGTAACATATGAGCAGTTGGAAATTGTTCCGATACAGATAATTTTTGTGAGGTGAATTCAAAAAAGAAAAGAGAAATTTGGTTCGAGGTTACGAAAATAAAAAATTTAGAAAATAAAAAGAAAATGACACGATTAACTCAAAAGTGAATAAAATGTAGAGGATAAAGCACTAAGAAGCTATTTTAAGCTATCTATAGTGTTTGGCCACAACTCACGTGCAAGCATAATCTTTTTAAGCCTTACACATAAAATGTAACCGGAATACATTTTTAAAAATCTGATGGCATTAAGCTTCGAATCTGTGACTTTCTTGTCAAAAAACCAACTCGAACAATCTGAAACTTGCGGTTGTGACTCAGAAAATATTTTTTATATTCTAACAAATGAATAGTTTAATTACTTTTATGTCATTTTTACCTGAATTGTTTCTGTTTTATTTTTTTCCGTCCAAACATTTTTCTTTTTGGTTTCATTTTTTTCGTTCGAACCTTTTTTGTTTTTCATTACTTTTTTATACTCATCTTTTTATGTTTTGAAAATATGTCATGTGATGCAACATTATACTGGGAGAAGACGATGCAAACAACAGAAGAAGCGGGCTGATTATGCGAAAATATGGGTCGATCGCCCACTCTTGGCCCCCTCAAACGATGAGAAAAGCGATGACTAGGTACGCATGAGCATGGAACACATTTCGGAATGTGATGGCACCTTTCTCTTGATTGAGAAGACCAAGAAAAAAAATAAGACCCTGAGTGCAAAGATTAATCTTATTTATGTTTTTCAATGCTTTTGTTGGGAATAAACGCACGCGTAAACAACACACAATCACGAATCAACTACAGAAAAATAAACGACACAGGATTTAACATGGTTCGGCCGCCAACTGCAACCTACGTCCACACGGGACAACTAGGAGGATTTTATTATTTGTTGTTGCACCACCATTACAAGCACATTAGCATCTCTTAAATAGAGATTAGTTAGGGAGACAATGATTAAGCCGTAAGCTTCTAGGTAGCTTCCTGCCAATTTCCTGTTAGCTTCCACCTAGCTTCCTGGCTTCACACTCAACAATCTCCCACTTGAAGCCACGGAACAATGTTCACCTGCGCTTCAACTGTGCAAATGTACTTCTGTAATCTGATAACGGAACTCAAAATTCCACCACCTCTAGATGCCACCAGCCTTCTTGATCATCGAGAAGACTCTGTTGAAACTCTCCTGAGTTTCAACCCATCAGTCATGGCTTGAACTGTCCCTGACTCATCCTCGGTCCCTACCGGCTCCCACTGCACACACGCACTGCCGGATCCTGGAACATCCTGAGAACAAACAATCTCCATACTGAGCAAGAAATTTTCTGGAGATGTTTTAACAGCTAGAATACTGGTTCTCCGGACCCAATGTCTTATAGGAACCTTGGCTGAAGCAAAACCTGTGCTCCCACTGCCACAGATACCTCTGACTGGCCTCATTGAACCTTTCCTCGCTCGTTCATCCTGAGTCTGACCTGTGGCTCTGGGTTTCTTTCTTGCATAGAAAACCTTCTTCTGCCCACGAGACTCTGTGAACCGAACTTTGTTTCTCTTCTGAACTGGGACGCTCACTCCCTCAGACGGTAACCCGACCATGTACAACGACCCACTCTTCCTTCCGCGGGCCATGACAAGATTTCCCTTCACGACCTTCCACTGCCCATTTCCGAACTTCACCTCGTGTCCCTGTTCGTCCAATTGTCTAACAGAAATCAAACTTTTCTTCAAGGCTGGAACCACTCTGACATCCTTCAAAGTCCAGAAACCGACAGGGGTCTTCAGCACTATGTCACCCATGCCCGTCACATCAAGAGCTCCGTCGTCTGCTAGTCGTACCCTTCCAAAGTCCCCAACAACTAGATTTTGCAATGCTTCACCGCTGTGGGTAGCATGAAATGAAGCACTAGAATCCATGACCCAGGAATCTACACTGCTCTCCGCACAACAGATAAACAAAACCTCGTCGCTCGCGGAGCTTCTAGCAATGTTCACTTGATTATCCTCTTTCGGGCATTGATTCCTGAAATGCCCCACCTCCTTGCACTTCCAGCATGTTACGCCTGAGCTATCCCGAGTCTTCGATCGACTCCTTCGTCTGTTCTTGCTCCCACTACCTCTGTTATTTCCTCTACCTCTGACGATATTTAGTGATTCTTTCGAAGACTCACCAGAACTCCTTCTTCTGACATCTTCGCCAAGAACGAGGTCACGAATCTTCTCAAAAGTGAATCCGTCAGGTTCCGCTGAACTGGTAACTGCTGTAACAGTTTCGGACCAAGTGTCAGGCAATGACGATAACAGTAGTAAAGCTTGAACTTCATCATCGAACTTAATGCCCACTGACAAAAGTCTGGCTAAGATCGAATTCAACTTGTTGATATGCTCGGTAACTGAAGTGCCATTTTTCATCCTTGTGTTCACCAATTTTCTAATCAGAAACACTTTGTTTGCCGTAGATGGATTCTTGTACATATTAGACAGCGCTTCCATGATGCCTTTCGCTGTCGTCTCCTTCGGAATGTTGAATGCAACATTCTTGGTCAACGAGAGTCGGATCACGGACATTGCTTTCCGATCCAAACCTGCCCAATCTGCATCTGACATCTTTTCTGGCTTGTCACCCAATACCACGTCCAAATCTTTCTGAACCAGCAAATCTTCAATTTGCATTCTCCACCAACTGAAATCTGTACCATCGAACTTCTCAATTTGGAACTTCCCATCTTCTGCCATATCACACGACCAA